ACTGAGCCATGAAAAAAGCTATAGCTTCCATCTCACGATGGGTAAGTGATAGCAAAACAAAGAACCCGGCCATCACTCCCCTCTTGTAAGAACCGTTGAAAGAAATCATGCACAATTCTTCGTTTCCCCCGACTCATTGCTCCTTTGATTCATTCATTCCTGACCCTGTTCCCTCCTGTAAGTCAACCATCTCCTGTGCACAGCTGGTCCTGATGAGGAGACCTAAGTGGCAGGTTCCCGGGCCACCCACGAATATGTGCGGAGTTGGCTGGGAGGTACTGTCGCAAGGCACCTGGCTGCGTGGCCTCCCTCTCCCCACTTACAAAAGGGGATCTAAACGGGCTCTGTTCCGTCGAGGGCCCAGCACACGGCAGTTGCCCCTCTGGTACCTTCTGTCTTGTTTGATAGTCACAACAAGCCCACGAGGGAGGTAGGGAAGATGCTTTTCACCAAAAGTGGCTGGGGGACCCGCCTGACCTCACACGGTTCCTCCATGACCCTGGACAGCTGGTGAGTCCACGAGGCCCCACAGAAGCCTCCTTGGTTTGCTCAGCCTCCATGATGCCCGTTCAGACGGGTGCCTCTGAAGCTGCACCCCTTCCACTCCCAATGCTTTCTTTCTAGAGACTTTCACAAGGTGTCAGAGCCTCTTGACCTCTTCTCCCCCAGCACTCGCCAGGATGCACAATTACATATTCGCTGATGGACTTACTTGAGTGCTGTCCTCAGCTGTCTCGTTCACTCCCTGGACTCTCAGCTCCACCTCCCAGACTTCCCGAGCAGCAGCCCTACAGGCTGCTCCCTTCCCAGCCTGATGGGCAACTCTCTCCAGGTGGCAGCTGGACAGCCCAGGAACTCACCTCTTTGTTTCTTGTCTTGGAGGGATCGTGGCCTTTTCTTGCCTTGATGTCCACTGTGTTTGTAAACCACTGTTTTATATATATGGTATATTTTTTGGATGTTTCAGGTGCGGGTGGTCAAATGTGGCCTCAGTTACTTCATCTCTGCTGGAAGCTCTTACTGATGCATCTTTTGGTTGAAAAGAAAGCAACTCCTTTGATAAATCAACACTGAGCCCAAGTAGTTCCAAATCACTCCAGGGGGGGCGGTCTCATCGTCTTCACAGAGGACAGGAGTGGTTAACGAATATGGCAGCCGAAGCCTCACTGAGAGAGAGAGAGAGAGAGAGAGAGAGCTCTAGCGAGCTGCGACCCCTGAGATGCCATGACAGCTCCTGCCTTTCTGTCACGTTTGCAGAGTCTTGGCCGGGGGCGAGGGGGCGTGATGGTGTCAGTGACGGAGGGGGCAGAGCTCGGGCAGCCTCAGGTCTGGGACCCCACACTCTGGCTGCCCAGCGTCCGGTGGACCACCTGCCTCTCACAGGCCCCACCCTCCCCTTTGAACCTCAGCACCTCACAGCTCCCTCCCCTCGGCCATGAATGACCCTTGCCCTGCCCTTGCGCAGGCCTCTTCTCCTCTAGGAGACTGCCGGCTCCTAGATCAAGGCCGCCGGGTCTCGGCCAGCTCTGTAATGGCCCGTGGGCAGCCGGCAGCACACCCGGCACGGGCAGCCTACATCTAATTCATCTTCGCACCCCCAGCTCCCAGCACAGTGCCAGGCCCGGAGGACGCTCAGTTCATTTTCATTGGGTGCATGAACGAATACATGAATGAGCGCCTTCACGATGCTGTCTTCTAGAAAATGACCCGTCAGTCTGCCCCTAGGTAGGACAAGCTGTCTTGCCATATTGGGAAAGAAGGGCTGGCCACGCCCACTGGGAAGAAAGTCCAGGCAGGGGCAGACCTGGCCTGCAGCCCGAAGATCGGGGTCCCGCCCTACCCCCTAGGAAAGCAACTTGGCCCTAAACCCCAGTCTGTATTCCCTTTTCTGAAATGACACCTTCTAGGCTTCTTTCAGCTCCAACATCCCCTGGTCCTTACTAACAAGGGACTCACACAAGGGTAGGCAGGGTTACCTTCCTTGAACACAACAGCTGTTCTCTTGGCACAATCCAAGCTGCTAGCCTAGGACTGAGTTTTGCATGGTGCCTCCCTCTTTTCGTCTATGTTAGCATCTTTGCCTGGGGTAACGCCCCCATGCGCACGCGGTAAGCAGTACACTGCTGAGTACGCAAGGGGGCCCTTGCAGAAGGACCCTCTCAAACAAGTCCCTTGCTTTTGGTGTCAGTTGTGTTTGGAATAAGTAAGCAAAAAGGAAGCCCCCACCTCCCTGAGAGAGGAAAGGAAGAGGCACTTGGAAACTCAGTGTCAAATTCCAGGCGAGGTTTAGAATAAACCTTTCCGTGTGAAGTGGATGGAATTTCTCAAGGGGGGACCTGCAGGCATTTTTCTAGGGACAACTCAACCTAGTGTGGGACTACGGAGGTGTCACTGTAGTTGTTAATATCCAATAGCTTTGCTGGACTCTTCGCAGCGACCAACACGGCCGCCCCGCCCATGTTTCCAGGGGCCCACGGGAGGGGGCGCACCCCTGCCTGAGACCACGAGGCAGATGCTTTCCCAGCCACGGGAGTGTCGGAGACAGGTGCGGGGGTCCCTGTGCACTGCAGCCTGGAGGTGTCACAGCCTGGGGTAGGATGGACAGGAACCAAAATTGTTTCCCTTGGCAGTGAAAATGACACGGGCTCTTTGGGGCTGGGCCTGGTCTCATCTCTGGCCCGGCAGCAGCGAAGCCACCGCCGGGACCTGCCCCAAGTCACCCTGCGCAGACTCAGCCAAGCCAGGGACACCCCAATGTGAGGAATCAGGGAGAGGGTTTTTTCTTTTTGTTTTTGGTTTTTATTTTTACCAAAAAAGCCTGAAGAAGTTCATCATGGGGGAAATGAGAATCTTGTTGGATCTTCTTTCCCTTATTTTAGAGTTTATTCCTATTTTGAACTGTGTATCCTACAGCCATTTCAGTGTTGGGCTTTCTAAAGGGTCTTGCCCTGGCTGAGAGCAGCCATGTGGTTTGGTGGCATCCTTGTGCCAGCCATTCCCCAGGAAGCATTTCTGAATCTGCTTGGTCTGAGGATCTGAGGTCCACCCCCGCCCCCCGCACCTTGCTTTTGTTGGTGGGGTTTTAGCACCTGCTTCCTGGGGAGCACATAATGGCTCCTGGATCTCCTCATCCAGCTGCAAGGACGCCAATTTGAGAATAATTCCAGGACCTCTAACTACTCCCTTCTTTCTGTCTCCCCTGGTTCCTAAGGGAGTGCAAGAGTACACGCGCTTGGGAAAAAGAGCGCAGCAGTTCCTTAGAAAGTTGATCACGCAAACGCCATAGGACCCGGTAAGCCCGGCCCTAGATGTGTATCGAAGAAAAATAGGAAAACGGGTCTATGCCAAGACTGAGACGAGAATGTTTAGAGCGGCTTTATTCACGAAAGTTAAAACCTAGAAACAGCCTAGGTGTCCATCAACAGGTGAACCGATGAACAAATCGCGGTATGTTCATATAACGAAGTACTGCTCAGCAATAAAAAAGGAAGGAGCTTCTGAAAAATGCAACAATGTGGACAAATCTGAAAACCACTTTGCTAAATAAAGAAAAAATGCACAGCACATGGTTCCATTTATATAGAAAGCAGAAAAGTGGTTGCCTCCAGGGTGGGGATTAACTAAAAAGAGGCTCAGGGAAACTTCCTGGGGTGACGGAAATATGCTGTGTCGTGACAGAGGCATGGCCTGCACTGGTGCGCCCATTTGTCAAAGCTGATCGGACCGCACGCTTAGGGCGGGTGCAATTCGCTGTATGAAATTACCTTGATCATAACAACAACAATAACAACAATAATAAAGCCACCCATGGTGGCCTTTGGGAAATCAGTCACGTACTCCCCACGTACCGGTGTACCCCTCAAAGTGCCTATTACGAAGTGGATGCAGAGTCTAGGGCATGGTTTTGATACTTTTACATATAGTCATGTCTTGAAGACCTGCCCAAAATTGCTAGTAATGCCTGTGTGCTTGTCCATCCACCCATCCCCCTCCCTCCCTTCTGCAACACCCACCCCTCTTTCCCTCCCTCACTCCCACCTCTCCTTCCTTTTCTCCCCCTCCCTCACCTCCCCTCTTCACCTCCTCCCCCTCCCTGCCTTTCCTTTTGTAATTCCTGGCGCTTCTTCCCAGGTGTGTCAGGGTCTTCCCGGGCCTTGGGGTTGAGTCTGCTTTCCTCAGAGGAGAGCAGACCAGCTTTGCTTCAAGCTTGTCTACACCTGTGCCGGCCCCCCTCAGCCTGTCTACACCTGTGCCGGGCACCCCCCCCAGCCTGTCTACACCTGTGCCGCCCCCCCCACAGCCTGTCTACACCTGTGCCAGCCCCCCCACAGCCTGTTGACACCTGTGCCAGGACCACCCCCCTACCTGTGTCGAGGGGGAGGACAGGCTCACCTCAAGGGCCTCATGGATTAAGTAACGACAAGGGGACCCCGTGGCCAGTGTCAGGTGCTTTGCCAACGACAGACTTTTCCCAAAAGTGTTGGCCACCCCACGCAAAGCTGAGACAGCTGCAGGTACCCGCCACGTGGGTCAGATCCAAGAAAGGAGGTAGCTTGCCCCTCTCAAGAAATGAGCTTAAGAACTGATGTTGATGGACTTCCTTTTCTCCCTTTCCTCCCCAGGGTCTCCCCTGAGCCCTGCTTCCCATCCCCACCCTCAGAGGAAGCGGATTTAATGCCTCAGCTGAGAGAATGAGATGTTCTGTTATTTTTCATGGGAAATTAAACCTGACCCTGCTGTCAGCTCCTGCCGGGGAGGATGGCTGGCCCTGGGCAGGCGCGGCGCTCGCCCCTGGCTGGGAGTGTGCCGCCTGGCCCAGGGCCAGCCATGATGTCACCTGCCGCCTGCTGGTGTGGGGGTGGGGACGGCAGGGCAGGTCAGAGAGCCTGGGCCACGCATGGCGGCGAGGCCACCCCGGGTGTCACCCATGACGGTCCACCCCCGATGCCGCCGGGACCGGCTCGTGCGGGGGAGACTCAGGCTGCTCCTGTCTCTTTCAGCTCCCAACTCTACCTCGTGCCCCCCAGAGGAGAGCTGGTGGTCGGGGCTGGTGACCGTCATCGCGATATGTTGTGCCTCCCTGCTGTTTCTCACTGTGCTTGTCATCATTTGTTACAAAGCCATAAAAAGGTGAGTGTCTACTGGCTTTGAACCCTGAAGGGGCCCTGGCTGGGCCCGGGCCTTCTCCACCCACCCCCACTGGGTTATTTTCATTATAAAAATTGTTAAGCTTTTAACAATTTAAGCTTAAGGAACACTGTGCCACGAACTTGCACCTACCTTCACCCTGATTCAACAGTTGTCAAGATTTGGCAAATACTTGGTACATTGCTTTCCTCCTCCTTTTAGCTTTTTGTTGGCTGAAGTATTTTGAAGCTGCTCTCAGACCTTATACACCATCATTTGTAGGGGGGTCAGCTCAGGAAGCACTGGATGAGCACCGATTGCAAGGCAGGCGCCCAGTGCAGCAGAAGGTGACCCTACCTTTGGTGCCTTTCAGGCCCACCCACCAGGGCTCACTGAGGGCCTCCGAGCCTGGCAGTAGTGCTTGCAGAGTCAGCGGTAGAGTCGCCGACGGGGCCACCATGCTGGCTTGGAGCGGGGATTTGGTTTTGGAGTCAGATCTAAATTCAGACTCCAGCTCAGGCTGTGTTACATGGAGGAAATCACTTTACCTCTCTGGCCCTCAGTGTCCTTATCTGTGGGGGGATGGGGAGACTAATGACCTCATGCTGCTCTGAGGAATGGTGCGAAGCCGTTGTAAACAGTATGCACAATATTGTGCTCTGCCGTGCCTGGTATATAGTAAGTGCTTACCAAGTGCTGCCGCAGCTTCCATTTGTTTCAATCAGCGCAGAGAGGAAGAAGGATGAGAGAGGAGGGTAAGGTGTCTCTCTCGGGAGAAGGGAGAGGCTGAGATGCCTCGGAGGAGGTTTTCAGTGAACATGACGTCGTAGTTGAGTTTTGTAGGAAGAATAGGAGTGTTCTAGTGGGGTCATGGGTGATCCAAGCAGCAAACTATCTTTCAGCAACACTGCCGTTTCTGTAACTGCCATCTCAGTTGCCTTTCTGAAGATGAACGGAGGCACCTTCCCCTCCGTTGAGTTGGGCTTTGCTGCCCAGTGTGGCCGTCCTTGGGGCCTGGGCAGCCAGTTCACCCTGATCAGGGTGTGGCCACATCTGTCTGAGGGCCTGCTGCCCTGGGGTGAGGACTTTAAGAAGCAAAGGAAGCCCCGGTGACCGGGGACAGTCGCTGGAGGGAGCCAAGTGCCAGACAGGGAGGCAGTGGCCCCACCAGGCCGAACTGCATGCCTGGGACTCAGTGGATCCTGGGAGCTACAGAAGAGTTGTGAGGAAGAGTGTGCAAGACACCCCTGGGGCACTGCCAGGGCGTGGGGCACTGCCAGGGCGTGGGGCGTGAGTCCCATCAAGGACCGCCCCACCCCCAACACTCTCCTTCCCCTCGGAGACAAGCAGCAGCATCTTTTATAAGCCCGGGTTCTTCCAAAAGTCACTTCTGCCTCTCTCACCACCCCAAACCTCTGAAGTTAACTCGCCGCTTCAACGGGAGGAGGGGACGGGGAACAAACATCAGTATCTGATGGGCAGTGCCAGCCAGCTGTGGCACGCTGGGCTGGGCTCCAGGGGGCGGGGCCCCCCAGGGGGGTGAGTGGGGGCGCTGCCCTCACCTCCACTCTGAACAGCCCCTGAAGACTCCTGTCCGCTCTGGCTTCTTCCACAGGCTCTAAGCTCTTTGTTCGAGGGTCTGTCAGCGGGGCCTGGAAAGACCCAGAATTCACCCCACAGGGCTCAGTGGGTCCCTTCCAGGGGGTGTGGGCGGGGCTTCCTCCAGGGTTTGTGGACAGGGCTCCGAATCTGTGGGCCGCAGTGGGAGCCTTGAGCATGTTGGGGACAAGGACAAGGCGAGGTGCCGCGGGAGCCTGGACAACTGAGAGGCTCCTGAGAGAGACCCATGAGCACGAGCTGTGGTCGGAACTGCCAGAGATGCAGCCCCCAAACAGGAAAGTATGGGGAGGAAATGCCCCGACCTCTCCAGGCTCTCTAGTCCCCAGAGGGTGACTCCTGTAGGCAAACCCAAGAAACAGGGGACCCCAGGGTGTGCAGTCGGCGGCGTCAGCATCCAAGGGCACAGTTTGGATGGGGATGGTAAATGGAGATGTCATCTCAGTCCCTTTTCAGCCCCAACACCATGATCTGCATCCTCCTCTGGGCAAGACCTGGGGACACAGGCCTGAGACCCAGCCCCTGCCCAAGATCCTCATAGCCCGGAAGGGCGTCCCAGCGCCGGAGGACAGATGTTCAATCACGGGAGGCTCTGCTCCCGGTCAGGCGGAGGCAGGAGAAGAGGCTGGCAGGCCCAGCACTGCCTGGAGGGAGGCGGAGTCCCCTGGGGGAGGGGAAGGAGGCAAGTCTGAGCCGGTGCGGGAGAGCCAGCGACCCTGCTGGCCCTGCTGGGGGCTGTAAGGTAGCGCCGAGCAAGCCAGCTGCCCCCATTTCTCTCCTGAAATCTGCCTTTTCTCTCAAAACAAAAGCATTCCATGTCACCATAAACCATTACAAGGAAAATTCAGTGATAAACCCTGCTTTTTAAAAGATTGATTTCCCAGAGAGAGGAAGGGGAAGAGAGAGAGACATTAATTCGCTTTTACTTATTTATGCCTTCGCTGGTTGATTTTTGGATGTGTCCTGACTGGGGATCTAAGCCACAACCTTGGCGTATATCAGGACGACCCTCTAACCAACTGGACTACCTGGCCAGGGCCTAAACCCTGCTTTTAAAAGAGCTTTCCCAGCCAGGAGTCCCAGGGGAGAAACTGCGAGCTCTTTGTGAATGGCCCCAACACAGCCTTTCGGAACCAGATTGCTGGGAGGGCGGTTCTAGACCCAGCTTGGGGAGAGGGGCGATTCTGGAGATGCCAGCTTGGTCGGGCACGTGGGGTGCGGGCCAGGGTGCCACAGGCCTCTGCAGGGACTGGAGGAGACCGAGGAGCAGAGGGAGAAGGCGCTGCCGTGCGCCCACACCTGGCGCTGGCCTTGGCGGAGGGGGCTCTCATCAGCCTTTCCCACACACGCAGCGAATCAGACTTGTTCCTTAGCAGCTGTTCCCAAAGTCCCAACTCTCTGCTGGGTGACAGGGTGCTCAGGGGACTCTGAGGTTGGGGGGCCCAGAGGAGGGGCACCTCACCCGGACCTGGGGCCCGAGAGGTTTCTTGGAAGAGGGTAGATGTCAGCCAGGCCCGGGGCTGAGAAGGGGGCGTTGCTCACGGCGGGACTGGCACAGGCAACGGCCCCAAACTCTGCAGTCGGCATTTCGGTGGCCTCGTTGCCATGAGCTTGCTGTGAATGGCCTCTTTATAACCACGGGATGATCAGGCCCCAGAGCCCTTGGGCGTCTGACCCTTGCCCCTGACCCACGCCGCCTCCCCACCCCTAGGCCTGGTGTGCACGGGTCCTCGGACAGCCGGGACGTGTTTAAAGCGCCCAGGACTGGGAGTCCAGGTGCCCGAATTCCGGCCCCAGCCCCAGCCCCAGCCCCCGCCCCGCTCAGTGGGTGCTGCTGCCCTCCCAGGGCCTGTTTTCCTTATCTGTAAGCTGAGGGTCCTCCACAACTCTGCCCAGCCCCCCGAGTCTTTGTTTCCCATCCTGAGATGGCAGGAGGACCCCCTGCCACTCGGTCAGCCTGCTGCTTAGCCATATAAGTGCGGACTGAAATGCTTGGCTGGGCCCTGTGCCAGGGCTGAGCTGGACATGGGGACTTTGGTGGGGGCACTCGGGCACTGTCCCTACCCTCAAGGCATACATCCCCTGGGGGAGAATCGGGCATTAATCAGAACCCCCCGCCCCCCGCCATCTAGTACAACGAGAGAGGGAGGACTTGCTGAAGGAAAACCAAGGCTCTGTGAGCAGAGACGACAAAAGAACCCGTGGTCCAGGGTGGACATGGCCGTCAAACAAGCAATAACCAGCCAGAGCGTTGGGATGAGGCTCCACGGTGCCGGGTGCCCACTGCCCTGGGAGGGGGCCAGGCCTCAGCCCCCGGCCGGGGGAAGGGACGGAGCCCCTCGGGTCTGTGGACACTAGAGGGTAAGGCCACCAGCCACGCCCTTGGCGCAAAGAAGGGTCCCGTGTTGTAGAGAAATGACACCTACCCCCTCCAGGCCCCCTGCCTTGAGCCACCCCCACACCCCAGGCACGGGAAGGCCATCGACGGCACAGGTCCTCCGCCTTCCCCATCGATTGGCCATTAAGCCACTTGACAGCCATTTTCTTCTAATTTACAAGGTGGCTGAAAGACCGATGAAAGCTGCACAACAGTTTGGCCAATCCTGCAGACAGTTAATTGCCGGCAATAAGCAAGCTTGCCGCTCCCTGGGAGCGTGCTCGTTGGTGCGGGGCTCGGGGGCGCGTCAGCTTTTTGTGGTTGAGTGGCTTCTGGTAGGTCGGGCTGGGCCACAGATATTTATTGAGCACCTACTGTGTGCCTGGGACTGGACTAGGTGCCGGGATGCGGAGAGAAACTGGGCGGAGTCTCCGCCCACTCCCCACCACACCCCGCCCCCGACAGAAGAAGCAGATTACACTCGCAGACACACATACCAGCAAATTGATTAATGAGGTTTTAAAAAACTATGAGCGCTATGAAGAAGAGAAACAAAAACTCGGGGTAATGGGGGAGGGGGGGAAAAGGGGTGGAAGAGGGGTTGCTCGGCCCACCCAAAGAGCGGGGAGCGCTGTGCGTGCCTCTTGAGGCGGCTTTCTGGTTAGAGAGTGTGGTGAGGGCTTTGTACGCCCATTACCATCTTTCACCTCATCAGAGCCTCCGTGGGTGCGGGAGAGGGGAAGCGAGGGAGCCCGGCAGCCCTCCCTTCTCAGGCTCCCCAGAGCTGATCTTTGCCTGCAGTTTCCCCGGAGGAGCAGCAAGCTGAGGGCGGGGCCTTCCCATCAATGCCAGCAGAGCCCGAAGGGGGCACCAGGCCCTGGCCGCCCCTGCCCAGCCCAGCCTGAGACCCTTGGCTGCTGGCAGAGGTGGCAGGAGCCGTCAGCTCAGCACAGAGTGCCTGCCGCCTGCCCCGCTCCGGGCCATGGGCCACGGTGAAGTGGCAGAGCCTGCCCTCAGCTGCCACGTGGCCGAGTAAAAGCTGACCGCCCTTTCTCTTGGTTTTAGGAACCATGCCGTGTAGGGAGCCGTTTGTGGCCACCTCTGCCCACACCCAGGTGGAAATGCTTTTCTTTGGTTTATGGGGACCAGCCCTGGCCGGCCCCCAGCACCATGGAGCCAGGCTGGGTCTAGCAAGTCTCTAGCATTTCCGGAGCCCCAGGGGGTGCACACTAGGTAGGAGGTCTGTGCGGACAGGAGACGCTGGCTGCCCTCCCCACCCCCGCCAACAGGGGCAGCAACCCCCTGACCCTTTCCAGCAGCGGCCTTGAGAGCTAACAAACCCTGTGGAGCACTTACTGATGCGAGAGGCCTTCTAAGTGCTTTTCACACATTAACATGTTTACTGCTCCCCGCAAGCCTATGAAACGGACACCATCATTGTGCCCATTTCATAGACCAGGAAACTGAGGCGTAAAGAGGTTAAGTGGCTCGCCCGTGAAAGGACAACGTGGGTGGTTTGCGGGGAGCCTTTGGGGTTCTCCTGCTGTGGGAACAACTCCAGCGTCCCCTGGGCTCCAGTGAGTCCCAGGGAAACGTTGGGAGAGGGCCGGGCAGCAGCCCAGGCGCAGAGAGGCTGGGGCCAGGCTCCGGTGGAGGACGGGAGCAGGCCAGCTCCACGTCTCAGGAGGGCCCTGGGCACCAGCCTCTCCCCTCGCCGAGCTCAGGCTCTGGAAATCGGGGCAGGGAGGGGGAAGCGGGGCGCGGGGGGCTTCGTCAGCCAGAGATGCCCTCTTTGTTGAGCGGAGCCCCTGCCCGGACCCCCTCCGTCCCTTCCAGCCTGAGAAGCTGGCTGAGCCATTGCAAAGGGCCTGGGGCCGCCTCCTGGCCTGTCCTGAGTGTCCCTGCAGCCAGGCTGGCCTACTGTCAGGCCCTCTGGGCCAGCGTCTTCCCTAAGGCCCCTGAAACGCAAAGGGACGCCCAGCCTTCAGCCCGGCCCTAGACTCTGCCCTCTCCTCCCGGCAGAAGGAACCCTGTGGATTTCCCAGCCTCTGAGCGGGGCAGGGACCCTGGGCCCAGGCTTCGCCCACTTGCAAGAGGAGTCCCATACCCCCTCCCTCATCTCCTGTTACCCACCCTCCGAGGCCCGGGAGCCCTGTCTCCCCTGACCGGGGCCTAGTGCAGATTTATGAGACCCAGAGACGTTTGCCTGGTACTATTCTCTGAAATTCTGAATCTGATATCCATTGCCTGCCTCGTATATTGATGATAAATTTAGGAGTTGCCCTTAAGTGGCTTCATGGTGGGCACAACACAAGGTCTCACTTTAAGAAAATGCTGCCCCCTTTTTCCAGACCACGCGGACTCACTGAGTCGGAAATCAAGCCCACCCGGCCCAGTCAGAGGAGCTTGAGGCCCCTGGCCAGGCGTGGTTGGGACAGAAGGAGGGACGAAGGGGACAGAAGGAGAAGGGTCTGGGGGCAGAGGCTCACTCCGACTCTGTTGTTTCCATGAACCCATCACCGACAAGGCAACTGTTCTGAGCCCTACAAACCTGGGGCTTTCAGAAAATGTCTGTGAGCATCTGTCCACAGCAACTGGGGCCCTCAGCCCCCAGAGCATGGGATGCGCTATGTTAAAGCAAAACGAGACGGGCTTTCTGGAGGCCTCGGAGGACTCCTGGGAAAGTCAGGAGGAGAAGTTCTCGCCGAGCTGATTGCACCACAGAGCCCATGGCGGGGGCGGGGAGGGGGGGGAGCGGGGGAGGGGCCTGCTGGGAACGCCGCTTTAACAGAAGGTTGTCTGGACCAGCGCTTGGTAGAAGTGGGTAGTGGTCCAGGTCCCACCATAAACCAGCTGGGGGACCTTGGGCAAGTCACAGCTCTCCCTAAGCCTCAGTTTCCCCATGAAATGAAATGAAACTCCGGGCCTTGCTGCTTCAGGGAACCATAGTGAAAGGAGACAAGAAAGTCCGAGGCTGAGAGTGCTCTGACCAAAGCCTCGCCACGGCGGGAGGAAGTGCTGGTTTGCACCTCAGTTTTCTAGAAGCCACTGTGGCTGAGCCTGGCGCCCGGTCCGAGTGCACCTGGGTTTTCTTCCTGCGTTTTGTGAGCTGATTCTGATGGCAGAGAAGAGGGAGGGTTGAAGGTTTGATCTCGGGGTGCTGTCTGAGCGGGCCTGATAACCCCACCGTGACAACCACCTCCCGGCCCCGCCCCCTGAACTGACTCCGCAGGCCTTTACCCCGTAGGCACCAAGCTAGTCTCCGTGTATCACTCCTTCTCGTGCTGGGTTGCAGGGGCAGGGCGGGGGGTCTCTGGGCACGTTTGAGAAGGCAGATGCCATCATTCCCTGGGCTCTCAACGATGACCGTAAACATTCAATTTAGACAACTGACAACAGAAGCCAGTTCAGGCTCCGCCCCAGCACCCCTGGGGACACAGGTGTCCGAGCTGCAGCCCCCTGGGCCTCAGATCCACCTGTGGCAGGGGATTGCCACACAGCAGGTATGGCCTTGATCAGGAAGCTGTGGCCACTCAGGCCTCGGCTGGGGGCCGAAACCCTCCTGAGCCACTCGAGACAGAAGAGAATTGAACCACAAGGTACTGCTGTGAATGCAGAACCTCGGCAAAGGAGCAAGAGCCTTTTTTTTTTAAGATTTTATTTATTTATTTTTAGAGAGAGAGAGAAACATCAATGTGCGGTTGCATTTTGCGCACCCCCTCCTGGGGACCTGGCCTGCAACCCAGGCATGTTGCCTGCACTGGGACTCGAACCGGCGACCTTTTAGTTCACAGGCCAGCACTCAATCCCCTGAGCCACACCTGCCAGGGTAGCAAGAGCCTTCTCAAGCCCCCAACACCCCCCTCCCCGACCCCAAAGCCCAGCAATCGAAGGATGCTAACCCAGTACAGAGCCTGGGGGGCTGACTGGGAGGGCGTGATACACTCCCCAGGCACTAACTAACAAATGTCCCTCCACCTCCCTGGCCTCCCCTGCGCCCCGCCCCCCCGCCCCCCCAGGAAACCCCTGAGAAAAGAGGAGAATGGCACCAGCGCTGCTGAGTATCCCATGACGTCCTCGCAGAGCAGCAAAGGCCTGGCGGTGAACAGCGCCGTGGTGTGAGGCTGCGGCCCTGGACCGGCTGGCCAGAGGGGCGCCTTGGTGGCACTAGTGGACACGAGCTGACACTGGGCTTGTCCAGGACTTCATTGCCTTGCCGGCCTCGAGCCTGTCGAAGGAGGAACCACGCTCTCCCCAGCCTCGCCACAGGGCCGCGGCAGCCAGGCCCAGGCCGAGCCAGGCGCGCCTGCATGCAGCCCGGGCGGCGCCAGCCCCAGGCTCTCCGCACCTCTCGTCTTGTGTGTGACCCGCTGTCTCCCAGCTACTGTCTAAAGCACGCGCTCTGTTGAAAGCAGAGGGTCTGTGTGTCTGCTGCAGGGAAAGGCATCCCCCTTTAGCCAAAGGAAAGGCAACCCAGGGGCCACTCCCCTGCCCGGAAACCTCCCCCACCCCCAGGAAGCCCGCCTGCTGCTCCGTTGACCATGCCCTTCCCAACAGAAGCCATCGGCGCAGCCGTGAGATGTCCCCTTTATAAGGTGCTTCCCACACATCTGTCTGTCGCCCCATCTGCTCTTGTCATCAGTCTGCAGGGCCCACCTTCTCCCTCCTGTGCCCCCTGACACCCTGGACCCCTCGGTCCTGCCTGAGCACACGGAGGGGCTCGTTTACACTCTGGGGTAGCAGCTGGCCTTCTGGGCAGAAAAGGACTCACGGAAACCTAGGCCAAGGGCCCGGGAAGAACAGAGGCCACGAGGCCTGTTTGCAGAAGCATCCCCGGCCCTGGCCCTCGTGGGAACTGACACATCTGTGCAAGCGGGCCCCGCCTTCCTCTGGCAGAGGCCCCTGCGGTGCCAAACCCCAGCGGGCGCGCGGGGCTGGGCCGGCCTGGACTGGGTCTCCCTGATGCTCCCCTGCAGCCCTGATGGGGGCCCAACCCTCTCCTGAGGTCCCCCAGGCCTCCCCTCATCCAGAGGCATTCCTCCAGTGGCCCCTGACTGTCTCTTTCCAAGGTCTTATGTTCTAGAAGCGCTGAACCTTCCGTAGTGCCTGGTAGATGAAGGGAAGCCACCCACCCACTTGGGGGTGCATCACTAGGCCCATGGAGACGGCAGTCCTGGGGGTTTGCATCCCCTGGTAGATTGGGAGACACCCCTGACCGCCCCCACCCCCGTGAATCCCTCACCACCCACATTCCTCCTAGGAAGGAAACAGGCACGTTCAACGTTCCACTCTCTGGCCAGGTAGGAACCTAGCTGGGCCCAGGTCTGCCTCCCAAGCCACTGGGGGCGGTTGGGGGGGTGCAGCACAGCACAGTTGAGACTTTCACATCTAGGCGAGGCTGACAGACTGAAAGCCAGTCCCCATGAGGGCTGAATCTCGACACATCCACCATCCCGGGGCCCTGTGCCCCCTGCGTTTTCGGGGTCCCCCTGCCTTTTGCAGAGCAGAGGGGAGAAGGAGGGTTTGCAGTGGCCCTCACCTTGGTCCTGCCCCCAGGTCAGTGGGGACAGGCTGAGGACAGGCCCCAGGCATACCCTCCCGGAGAAGGTTTTCCCCCCAGTTTTCCTTCTAGGTGAGGACTGGCTTGGGGCTTGGATGTGGGCTTTGCTTTCCCCGCACACCCCAGCATGGCACAGTGCCCCTGGGCCTCCACCCTGCCCCCGGCCGCGTGAGCTCTTTGCATACTCCGGGGTGATGCCCTCACTCCTCCCAGGGATGCACAGCTGGGTGACAAACAGGCCAGAGGGCATGGCTCCTCAGCAGGGCAGACCCCTACCCCGGTGTACTTCCCCCACCGCCTGCACCGCCTCATGAGTCCCCTGCCTGTTCCCTGAGCAGGTGATAGGAGAGCACCTCCGGCCAAGGTGTAGGAGCCTGGCTAAGGAGTCGCCAGGTGCAGGGGGCCATCCAGGGCGCAGGCACGGCCCACCTTTGCACCACCCATGGGTACCACTTCCCCGGACCTTGACTTAAACCTCAGAGGCCCAGACTTTGCAATTAGCCTAACCCGCCAGTGCCCAGCGAACCTCCCACCGGGCTTGGGGGCCGTATCCTCTTCCCTGGAGACTCAGCCAAAGCTCTGAGAAAAGCTAACCTTTGGGAGTAAATGCAATTCCCCCAAATTGGGTTTGCAACATCTCACCCAGTCCGTGAAACCCAAGGGAAGAGCCTTTTTTGTTTGTTTTGTTTTTGTTTAAAGGATTTGCTTGAGAACCCCCAAGCCAAGAACCAGCCGTTCATAACGGAGCTCTCACGGGGGCAGCGAGAGGGCCCCACCAGAGTATCAGCTTAGATGACAGAAGTGTCCGTGAAACTGGACCAGCCTGGTATTTGAGCTTAGAACCTGTACGTAAGGAGTGAATCTGCAGCCCCTAAGCGGGCCAATCCTCAGCCTAGTCCGAACGCGGAGGCCAAGAACGACATGCACATTCCTTCTCTGCATTTTCTCAAATAGATATTTTTCAACCGTGTCTCCTAGTCAAGCCCAAATTTAGAATGGCCTATAGGATCTCCCAGAGTTTTCAGATGTTAACTTAGAAGCTTCTAAAGCAGGTTTTGGAAGAACGACTAATAGCTGTAAAAATAATAAACATATATATTATATAGTTATATATATTTAAAGAGATATCAATATATATACAAAATTACTGTACTGTCTAAATCTGTGCGAAGTATATGATTTAAACAGCCCAGGCAGTGTGTGATACCTATTGCATGAATGTAAATATTTGAGATCTGCCTTCCTAACAAGGTGCGTGTGCGCGAGAAGCCAGCTCCTGTCCTGAGAGCTTGGTCTCAACGGACCTGTTGGTGCGACCTGTCCGCCAGGAAGCCAGTGATGTCGATTTTGTGCTGAGACTTTGCGCATGAAGCAGGACCACAGCGTTGGGGGGTGGGCTGTATGCTAACTATCAGAAAGAAAGCACCATGCTTTTTTTATTTTCAATAAAAATATACTTATAAAGATGGCTGCAGTTGTCGTGTGTGGCGGGGGCTTGTCCCTGGGGTGGGGGTGGGAAGGCGCCAACAGTCTGAGGGTGGCGGTGGGCGCGGCCCTCCCGAGGACCTGCTGGGACCCCGGGGCTGGGCATGTTGCCTGTCTCATTTCTGTACGGTTTCATCCAACACCCCAAAGCCGGCACTTGTGGGGATCCTAAGGTCCCGATCCCCTACCCGGCCACCTTGATCCTTTACTCAGCTGAGGGTGACCAGTCATCCCAGTTTGCCTGGGACTGGGAGGTTTCCCCAAAATGTGGGCCTTTGGGGGTTAAAATAGGAAAGTACCAGGCAAAAAGGATAAGCCAGTCACCTTAATCTGACAAGTGCTCCTAAGAATCACGGGGGACAGAAGTCAGCGGCCCACGCTGGAGGGGAGACGGGCTAGTCTCCCACTGTGCCTGCCCCTGTGCCCCGACCTCGGCCGCCCCGCCTCCCAGTCGATCTGCAGCACCCCTCACCTGAGCGGCTCAAGCGTTGTGCTGTGTGGCCTGCCCCACGCCCTCAGCAGAGCGAACGCAAAGGGCCACCTGCTCCCTGGAAGGAATGAGTGGAATGCGAACTGCCTCCCGGGGCCTTCGTCTCTCTTCCAGCCGCACCAGAAGCAACCCCCCTTCCCAGCGTTTCTGGAGGGGAGAGGCTCCTGTCTGATGCGCCCGGAGGAGGGAGAAGACAGCAGCCCCTGCAGCGTCGTCGCTACCCCCCGAGGAGTGAAGAGGCACATCACAGATGGAGTGTGGTGGCCGAGGTCACACGCGCATCAGGAAACAGGTGGGGCTGGGGTTTGAACCCAGCCTTGGGTCTCTTTAACACCCAGCCACTGGACACGAGTGAGGGACACCCCAACCCAGACTATCTCCCCACGGTTGGGGTGCTGCTGGACCCTGTCACCCCCACCTGGATTCCACGTGGCTTCAGAGTTAGATCAGTGGAGGCTATTGGGAGGACACTGCGTGCCCAGAGCCGGGGTCCAGGGGTCTCCCCACCCTGACCCCAGCCCGGGAATGGTCCCCTGGGGGAAAGTTCCCTGCCCCAGGCATGTGGAGAGGAGCTGTGAAAGTCTGAGACAGCACCTGCCACCACCTAGGGTTCTGTGAGCTGCCATTTGCCAAAACTTGACACATGCCCTGGCACATAATAGGCACGCAGTGGGTGACAGCCGTCATTGATGTTATTGTCACTGTTGTCACTAATAAAAGGCTGCCTGCCATCCTGGCCCTGGCGAGAGCTCCTCTCCTCTGCCCACTGGCCACCTGTATGGGTTCTCCCCTAGAGGCTGGTGAGGATTTGGCGGGATACCTCCAGCCTTGCCCACACTCCCGCCTGGCCAAACTCACAGCAGCAAATGCTAAGGCCACCAGCTCTGTGCGTGAGGCTCTGTGGCCTGAGGCGAGCGCCAGGCCCAGCATGGGTCATGGGGTCAGGGAAAGACCCACGGGTGCTCAGGAGCTGTGAACACAGAGCAGAGGGGCAGACCCCCCCTCCCCGAGGCAGCGCACCCCTCTCCGACTCAAGCCTCTGGGGCTTTTGGCCGCCGGTTCCAGCTCTGGGCAACTGACAGCCAACAACAGTACGTGCGCGGCCGCCTGTCGGACTCCTGCCCACTCCCTGGGCGGCTCACCAACTGCCCTTGCACTGAGGCATAGGACACGGTGGGGTCCACCGGGGTCCCCGCGCAGCCTCCAGACATGTGGTGGAACGACCACTCCTGACCAGAGAGGCAGTGGCAGAAAGGCTCTCCTGTGTGTGCTTGATTCCAAGTGGTGACCTCGCTATGGCCTCACCTTTGGACACGGCTCACCCGCCGGGCCAGGCAGTGGCCCACACACGGGTCTACCCCCGTCCCCTCCTCTCACCTCCCCCACGCAGGCACTAAGAGCCTTTATGCTCTCTCCTCCCTCTTCCAAAATTGGCTCTCAGGAGAGCACCTGACAAAGTCCCTTACACGGGCTTGATGCCCGGTCTCTGTGCCTGGAACAAACAGTGCCACCAAGCCGGGCTCCAGGCTCCACAGTATCCACCCGGATGTGGCAGATACAAGCTCTCCCGGTACCTCACTGTCGTCCCCTGCTTTTCCCTCCCCCCTCCCCTGTCACCCTTCCCCAGGCCTCACGCCTCCCCCCACATAGGCCGGCCCCTTCCCTCTTAGGTGCGACAGCCACCCTCCCCTCCCGCCTTGTGGCTTTCTTCGCTGCCCCCAGTCATTTGTCATTCTCTATTCGAGGGCCTCCCTTTCTCCCCACCGAAGAACGCCCGCTGACGGGC